TGTATCGCGTGGCAACACAGAAACGGAGCCCAGAAGATCTTAGACTTGTTTAAACTACATCAGTCATTTCTAGACCTGACTGATAATCCCTCTATCGATCTTCTTTTTAACCACAGTGTGGATATTCTTCTTTGCCACAACCCCCCCCGTCACCCCAAAATCTACATGGAACAGAAGGTTTCAAAATAAGAACATATGGAAAAATTGTGGACCAGCAGTGTGATTTACTGAGAGGCACCATTCTGACTTTAAAGACTCCCTGGACATCACTTCTCCTCTAGCCTGCTGTCCGTTTGTAATTGCCGAAGAGTGAAAGTCACAGCATGTTGGGCCAGACTAGTGCCTCTCAGCAGTGACTGCTTTAAGGGAATGTTTAATTGAAGAGTTTACCCATACGATGTTCCATTTGATGGCAGAATATATTCTTCAATGATCAGTATTTTGGCAGATGAATGTGTTCTATTTGTTGTTGTATTATTTGTGATCACTGTTTTAAAAATTTTATCAAGTTTCTTAAAAATCAAAAAATAAACTATGACAGAAAAAAAGAACACACCAAAAGGACAATAAATGAGGGTGAGTCTTACAGAAATAGGAAAGAGAGTTAAACAAAGTCTGAAAGGAAAAATAAAACATGACATCCTTCCACATCCTGTCTTTCTTTCCTTGTTCGTCTTCTGCACAATATTGTTGGAAGCCTTTTGGTGAAGTCATCATTTCAAATCTGAACCTGTTCTCAGCTGACAGATCAAGTCAAATATAGGATCATTGTTGTTGCTATTGTGATGACACTGTCAGTTTTTCGACTTCAAAATTGTAGCCTAGTCACACTTTTCATAAAAATTGAGCTTTTGCAAATGCAGTCCAAGGTTGTCCCAGTCTCCATGTACATTTGTAAAATACAATAGATTTTGTGAATGCAGTTATACCTTTTATATACCTATAAAGGGTCAGATCCTCATACCCAGGAAATCAAAACCTGGAGACTGCAATTTATTAGAAATATGTTTGTCACAGAAGTGGCATTCAGATGCAAAATGACAAATTCAGTTTGGACCCAGAAAGTCCAATGGTTCCAATAGTTTTAAGGGGTGTGGAACATCAGCAAGAAACACATTAAATCCTTCAGCGCAGAGAGAGATGACTGGGACAGAGTGACATGCAATTATTTTGTCTATTAGCTGATGGCTGTAGTTATACCAAAAGCACAAACAGTAATGGTGATATTGAAAAGCTCTTACAAGTGCCTTAGTCCAGTGCAACGGAATATTGGCAGGATATAACTAACCCCAGTCGACACACAAGCAGTTGTACTATTGTATGAGGTACAGCTCCTATTAATACATGAAAGGCCAAACCCAAAGTGGTCCAGAACTGCCTACAGATCCATTCCACAAAATCAAATTCCTTCTCTGGATCTAAAGAAAGCACCGCTCAAAAATCAAGATGGTGAGGAGTCTCAACCAGATCATGGAGGATGAGCTATAAATGATCAGAACCAAACTGGTCCCTCAGGAAGCCTGTCTAGTCATGGTGTACAGTGTTAGAGAATACATGTACTGTACAGTAGGTTTCCATCCACAGAGAATGAGCTGTTTCAATGGCCTGTAGATCTGCGATGAAAAATTTGCACTTTGTTTTGAATAAAAGTATTAAATAGCTAATTTAATTCCATATCACCAGTAACAGCTCAAGTGGAACATCCTGTAAGTCAGGGGATTTCTGCTTAGATGCTCTTAACCCCTACAAAGTTACAGAAGCATCCAAAAGCATAGTTTATTCAGGATGTAACAGAAGCAATTTCATTGGGTTTGATCTACACCAGATTCAGAACTTCAGAGCTGTGAATAAAAGTGTTATGTTAACTGGTGGAAACTCATTGAGAGTGTGCATACCTGGCCTACCTAAATCTCCCCTTGATTCACTTAGTGAAACAATCTCTCACTTCGTTATCTCACCTGTTGTGCAGTGGGGCTGTTGGAGCACCACGCTGGAGTGTGCTGTAAGTCTCCACCTGTGTGTAAATCTTTGTTACCGGCTGGAGAAATGACAGCTTCCTTTATTGTTTTGAAGCAAAACCAAACATTTTCAAACAAAGCAAGACTTCGTTCAGGTCCCTCAGACTATGTTCACAGCTTTGTTTCTTACATTTGTCAGAGGTTCAGTCAGAGGTTTGGTCAGCCTCTCTCCCAGTCTGGAATCTCCCAGAACCCTGCTGCCCTCAACCCGCTACTAAAGGAGCACATGTTGAAATAGGGAGGAGGGCAGCTGTATCTGCATCCTGTATCAAAATCATAGAGACAGCTAAGTCTCCTTGGAGGTGTGAAACTGCCGGTCACAATTGTGTTCAAATCCTTTGGGATGAAAAGCACCATGTAGGTACAAGGAATTAGTATTACGGCCAGTTGGTGAGACAGGGGACTCCCTCTCCCAGTAGGACAGGTCCCAATCCTACTGGGAGAGGGAGGAGGGAACTCAGTTGATCTGGCAGCCCAGTATGTGATCTCCTGTCACAGCCTGAGGAACAGTGAGTCCGTCTCCCAATAATGCTCCAGCCGCCTACAGTATATGTCAATATTATATAATATGTCTTTGTTGTAAATGTCTGTAACATGTCTGTAGATTTTATTTTACTTCTATTTTTTGTTTTGTTCTATGTTAATTTTTTTATTTTTATTTGCTTTGGCAACACTGATTGTACCTATCGGTCATGCTAATAAAGCACCTTGAATTGAATTGAATTGAATACTATATGTCTGAGGGCCCCTGTGTTGATAGACTATGCGCTATGGAGGAGGCCAGTAGGAAACATACACAGTGAGCTCAAACATTGCCATTATATTATATTATATTATTGTCAGAACTGCCTCCATGGCACCAATCAAATGGCAATGTGCTCAATAGTCTCAGTAGTCTGTAGCTGTGGCACGACCCTGATAAATGTGGGGATTTGTTCTTGCAGTACTAGCAACGGCACATCGTTTTAATGGCTGGGACACATGGTGCTGTGGGGAGGGTGAGAGATGGTGGTAACTCCGGAGAGCAAGTCCTTATCAGGGGGTGGCCCTTCTCCAGAGCAGAAAGAGGAAGGGGCCACTAATGGAGACGGGGTTAGGGAAAGGGGGAAACTAAAAATAATGATGCTGGGCCTTAATGATTATTAGGAATAAATGATGGGGGTGATGAGAACATACTGTATTCTCGCTCAAGCTGACATTTCAACATACAGTATCTAAGCAATATTGCAATACTAGTATGACCCCTGACCTTTGCAGAATATAGTAGAAAACTACAGGCCGCATAACTAAGAAGTGTTAAATTTGTTTCCCAGTTCTGCCTCTAAAAATATTCTGTGCAGCTCATCTTTCTCCTCACTAATTAAAGCCAATATAATAACATGAAAAAGGTTTTAGACATGAAGATGCAATTAGGCCCATGTTGCTTGTTTGGCTGCTTTAGCTTATTGATTCAGGAATCTCGTCAAGCTGTTCTCTGGAGGATCCCATGGAGTGAAACTGTTCCATTTTTGCTATTCAACAACAACATATCCATTTTCTTGAACATCGTGTTTGAATTTATTTCAGATATTCGAATGAAAAATGTGACTGGATACATTTCATTTTCATCATCCACAGTAAATGTCTGCCTCAAGCTGCAGTGATAAGTAACCAGGCAGAAACCTGGAAGGTGTTTTTTTTCTTGAGATGAACAACAAATGTAGAAATTTTAAGAACTTTAGCACAATAAACCTTTAACAACAGTAAAAGAGATGAGAAGAGGCCATTCATTCCATCTAACGCATTTGGTAGTTAGTAGCTAATTGAACTAAAAATCTCATTCAGGCATTTCTTGAAACCATATTGACTTCAACCACATGGCTGTGTAGCTCGTCCACACACCTACAACCCTTAGGGTATAGAAGTGTCTTCCGTTCCTACTATAGTTTTAAACACACTTCTGTGTAGTTTCCACTTGTGTTCTCTCTTCATTCTGAACTCTAAAGAAACGAAGTCTCTTTTAATATGAAAAAAATATTTTAATATTAAACAGCTCTATTTGTATTTTCTGAGGCACACATGACTGATGTTCTGCACCAATGTACTGAAATGTCATTTCTGCTTAGAGAAAAATCATAATTTACGTGAACAGATCACCCCGGACCACATTAATCATGCAGATGCTACATTTTTTCAAGGCCACAATACAGTAATTAACATCTAAACTGTTTCACAAAAATGCGCTGGAAACTGATGAAAGTTCTGCTAGTGTTCATGGGATACATTTTTTTGATAACTGTAGCAAAAACAGTTTCAGAATTAAATTCATCTGGTGTGACAGAAGTCTGATGTAAAATTCAAAAATAAAAATCACAATGGTTTTGGAACAATTGTGTAAGACTCACAGCAAATTAAAAATAAAATCCTTCAGAAGGAAATATATTCTCTTATCAGGAGTTTTTCCCATCAAAATATAGAAGGTTCTGGCATACTATATATAGTTCATAAAATATTACAATTTGGGACTGTTTTCATAAAATAAAACAGTGCACCATAAACCATGACCTAAGCTAAGGCTGCTGTTAAAAGATATGTATTTTTTCATATTTAACCAATGCAGTGTTCACTATTGTATTCAACAAAAAAATATTCTAATTAATTTTTGAATTAATTCTATCATAGAAGAGTAATAAATGTGAAATAAAATGCTTAGATGTGGGATAAGGCTGAGGCTGATGAATATAGCAGACCCCGTAGTCCTGTGATGAAATGATAAAACAATGTTTGTCTTTGTGTGAGGGATTTCATACCAGTAGATGAATTATTACAGGAGGGATAGTTCCATAAAAATAGCTTTTCCAATTTGCAAGGTAAGCATCTAAGCATCTCCCCACCTGGGAGTATGGCCACAGGGAAAATTTAAAAGTATTAGTAAAAGAAAAAATCACAACAAATTAAATACTCAAATCCTAAAATTCAACTTAGAAAGGTGATTTTTTTTCATTTACTGATCAGTTCTCAGTACTGAAATTAGCAAAGACGGAATATTATTAACATAGTTATTTTACTAATAATTATCATAAAAAAACTTTGTTCTGTTTGTGTTTTGTGTGCTGCCCTTACAAGTAATTGTGTAACACCATCCCTGCAATACAGCATTTTAAATATTAATAAATCATCTTATTTTGCATTCATCTCTAAGAGATTAACACAAGTAATTTAAATTAATGCTGTATTTCAAGGTTTAGTTGTAGAAGACATAAAATCTAACTTCCATGTAATAAAACTAGCCATAACATCACCCATAAAATGTAATCTTTCACCTTACTCATATCTCATACCAGGGCCACAAAGAAGGGAAAAATAATTATTTCTAAAACACATAATTACTTTTTTTAAAATGCTGTCCCTTTAAAGCCTTAAGGTGTATAATCCAGATTTGGTTAGACTCCCAGCCTTTATATTTCTCATTCTACCTGATCTCTTAATCAATTATTTAATTAATTGGTCTTAATTGCAAATACAAAATGCCCAAGTCTTTAATCATTGAGTGGGTTTAGCTTCCTTCTAAAACCTGGTTGGTGGTTTGTTGCCCTTCAAGGATTTGAAGGGAAGATCACTGGGCTCCGGTATAAATTCTGATTGCTGAAAATCAAACGCAAGGTTAACTGAAGTAGTTTGAGGCATGACTGTAGCTGACGATGGCATACTGTACCTGAGCTACGGTTCAGCTTACATGACTGGAATGATTGAAATCACCCTGCTTACTGTTGTCTTATTTTTGCTGTAAAGGCACTCTGGCTTTTGAGTTACTTTTCATTTGTTTTATTTTAACAAGGTGTAAAGGTGTGCATTCTCTTATTACAGTGCTATTGTGAAAATGAACCCATGACAACTACAGTATGTACTACTGATTAGTTGAAAAGAGTCGGAGAACATCTTATGAAGAAGGAAATACACCGTGGGCTAGGTTTTAATGATGTTTACAATTTTAGCATTACTTGGCATTATTAAAACCAATATAACACATTTGTCTAATGCTGATCTCAGGTAATTACCTTCACTCCATATCTTAATTGTTTTATTGGCGCAGTGTTAGCAACATCAGTAAACATCTCAGAGGTAGCTACGAATTTAAATACAAGCAGTGATGCTAAAACTGATGCCTTGCGTTCACATATTTGCATTAAATCTTAATAATGGTGTATAAGCTTCTTTGACCGAAAGAAATGTGACAGGGATATGAACACGTCCTTTAAAATTATTGGAAAGCTAAGTATGCTGCATTATTCATACTGTATGACAGGTAACCTGTAAGAAATGTGGTTTGGAGTATGAATGAACTCATAATGTATCAATGTAAAAACATTAAACTATTTCAGTCTATAAATTTAACTAAAACAATGCAGGAATTGATAGTAGTCAGGGTGCAAGACATACAGTAGTGTCAAATGTTGAAAAAGCACCACCTCATTGTGAAGTAGGTATTGTATGGACAACTCATAAGAACAAAAGAAATGTTACAAACATTTGGTAGTTAGTGGCTTATTGATCCAGAGAGCCTATCAACCACGTTTTGAAAGAAAGCGGGGTATTGGCTTCAGCAATATGGCAGGGTAACTTGGTCCATACCCCTGCTACTCTTTGGGTACAGAATATCTCCAGTATCTCTTGGAATATCATCTTCTTATACAACATGAATGCTCAACTCCAATCTTTTATGTGTGGATTTCTAATCTTGGATTTAGGTACACAGGTAATTTGCGAATAGCAGCAGATTAATATGTAAACGAATAGGTGACTTAACTTCTTGATTCAATAATTTGTTCCACTGAAAGGAATAGAGGTTGAATGAAAACTAGAAGATCCTTAGGTCCTGTTCTCTTTACAGAACCTTCTGGTGCCTGGATTTAATTCAGCCAGGAAATCAATTAATTGGGCCAATTAAGTAGGTGAACGCTTAACTAGAGAAAACCCAGAAGAGACTAGAGGTCTCAGGGGACATAACTGCAGTCTTGTGATAAATGGTCACCCTTTCAATATTGTTCGTGCATATTGCTGACACCTTACAAAACAGACTTAACATTAAAAAATATAATACTGCAATGCTGAATATAGAATTGTAATTAACTATGGGCTGTAGCCCTAACCCTAATGCTGTTAAATATATTAATCAAGCAATCAATCAATCCATTTTCTAACCACTTTATGCCATACAGGGACAGAGGGGAGTAGTGAAGCAAGAATTCGGGATACAGCACAGCAAATAACTCCAGCACAGGAAGTATGATTTATGTTTTTGAAGTTTGTTATGTTATGACTATGGGTGTGCAATTTATCAGTGAAAAATGTGCTTAATTAAAATACTACGGAGAAGAGCCTCTGGACTTGGTCACCACAGCTTTGCTACTTCTGATGAACGTGTCGAGGAATCCTTGGAGCCACCCCCGCTGGACCTTAGGATGACAAAAAGCATCTAGTCATCTTACATTGGTTGGCATGCAAACTTCCAGACAATAGAATATAATCCACATCACACATACAATACAATACATACGGCTTTCGAGCTCTAAATTACTTTGAGCTGCACTGTTTTTCATAAACATGCTTCTTTTAAATGATTTTCATTTCCTCTGTATGTTCTCAAGACTCATCTTCTTGGTCCTTCTCCCTGCTGCCACCTCTGGAAGAACCCAGAACCTGAAATCAAGAAAATAAAACTTCTAATTTGTGGACACACTTGCTCTTCTTGACTGAATACAATGATTCCTGTGTGAGTTCATGAGATAAAAATATATTCTACTTTTCTTCTTTTAATTAATCAAGTAAAAAGCAAAAAGGTAACACTGAGATCAGGAAGCTCTATTTTTTCTTTCTCGGATCGATTACTGTAGATCACGTAGATCTATGATCATGTCTTTCTTGACCTGAAAGTCACTTATAAATCATTGAAGCAGGAATCCAGTATCTGTCCTTGATTTATTCCATTAAGCAACTATAATGGTAGATCACATTGCAAAGGGTGGTTAATACCTCACATTGTTTTTTACCCATAGAAAGTGCTAAAATACTTTTTTTTTTTCATTTTATTGGAAAGGGCAAAAAAGAATAGGCATGTAGACCTGTGTGCGTGTGAAGAATCAGGCAGTGAAATACTAGGCTAGGTTTCACTGGGCTTGGTCCTCCTCATTTTGCCACTGTGAGCACTAGGAGCATTAGTGAGCGGCCACATACACAATAGAAAGTAGGCTCAGATCATACACACAGTATTCCACTCTGTCATACATTCTTTCAGTACCGTTTGTCAAAACAGGGTGGTTTGATGGATAAGAGGAGTAGAATAGATAGTCTTGCTGGGTGCAATGCATTAACTCTCTGACAGCTTGATATCAGGTAGAGTGGAAGAGCAGATTAGCTAATCCCAAAAGAAAAAGAAAGAAGCAGTAGATAACTCATAAGTTTGGTGATAAACAAGATTTGTAGGTCTACTTGTGTTGCATTTTCTGTCCATTACAGAAGAAATGTGCCCTTGCTAGTGAAAGGGTGTATAAGAACAGGTTGTGTACCTCTGAGTGAAGTCAGTCTGAGAAATGCCTACAATTGTACATTATACAGTAAAAAAAAATAGTTCTTATCAGAGGCACTGCGACTCGTCAACCCAGAGCTCATCCTGGTTCCTTTTGAGTTAAGCAGAGTAGAGAGTGCTACAAATCACCACAGTTTGCCACCTCTGCTTGCACAGCACACTGTCATCCTTTTCATGTCATTGCTGAGTCTATTATGGTTCCAAAATCCATGTGCATTTGTACTCAGGTCTAACAAATAAACTGGCTCCAATGATGTTTCCTCATCTCGGGACACTGGTCAACCACATCAACCACAAGCGAGCACGGTTCTGTTTTTAAAGCACTGCTATTGGAATTGTTTCTTTGGAACCAGTTAAAAATAAGTGCACATGTGTCCTGTATATGTCATGACTGGAAGGAAACCTTTCTTAATAAATCAATTCTACTGCGCTCTAAGCAATCCTGTGAACAACAGCAGTAGTGATACTGATTGACTGGGTGTGTCAGTGAAAGTCCCGCTGCTGGACTTTAGAGCTACTAGAGGCAGATATATTATCATTTTATCTCTAAGATATGCAAAAGACATTTCCTCAACAATATGGGCAGGAACATCAGCAGTGTGCTAGTGTGGAGAAGGGATTAATTTGAAATCAGTGGGAATTTGGCTTTTAATGATTCTGACCTTTAATATGAACTATTCACAATGCTAAATGTGGGTCCTGAGAAAAAGACATGAACAATAGTACTATATATAACACAGAATAAAACTGCCTTGAGTCTGTCTTGGTTGGGTCGGGGTTATGGTTTGGTATGAGATTCACTCATTTGGTACGATACAGTTTTTAGGATTATTCCTAATAGCATTTATCTGAGACAACTCAGATCTCAATTTTTACACAGTAAAAAGGGAAATACTGTAACTATAAATGAGTATTTCATTCACTTCTTCACCAAGAAAAAAGTCACCAACCTGTCTCATGCTGAGGAAGGACAAAGTTCTATATTTAATAATATTATCATAAAAGAGGAAGAAGTATCACGGGTAATAAAAGCATTTACGACATATTGTCAGGGGCCGATGGTATTTTATCAATTATATTTGAGGAAATAGGGATGCTCCTCATTTATGTCGACACGACTTTTCCAGCAGTCATTTAAGACATCAGTAGCACCCATTGTTAATATGGACCAAATAATAGAACCAAATAAGTATAGACCACTAAGCCTTATTTTTTACAGACAAGGTTATGTAAACAATTCTTAGAACTAAATTAGACATTTTCTTGTATCCCAATAAGATCCCCAAAACTGCAAAGGGACTGTCAACATGGATTTAGAAACAGAAGATCTTGATAATAACTTGTCCCTTTGAATAAACAACAGCAGTAATCAGTTCAAATGGAATATGTTATTATACTTTAAACTCTCAGAGGACTTCTGTTAATTTTCCACATACAAAATTATTCCGCCAATTAAGACCTGTAGGCATTCAATTAAATTCATTTATGTTTATAACTAGTTAACTGGATAGTAAACAGAAAGTACAGATTACTGTACCACAGAGCTACTGCATTTTCTGATTTATATAAAAAGGCCGTAATCTACAGTAGTAAAGGTTGCAGATACAAAACAGTAGGATTAGCAAACAAGATGCAATAGCACTTTAAAAGATTTGGACAAAATTCAAGACTGGACAAACATATCACCAACTGCATTTAATGCAAACAGCTACAGAGTGTTACGTGCAAAATTAGAGAATAATGAATATGAAGAAGATATCTGTGTAAAAGACTTGTTAATGTTGATATACCATATCATATTCGTCTTCATACTAAGATGGAAAAGTGGAAAAGTGGAAAAGCAATATAAAGGTAAACAGAAAGTTAGTGTAAAAGCATAAAATTGATTTACAAAAGTGATTTTAGAATAAAATATCACAGTGCACCAGTAAGACTTAATTGAAAATACTGCATTCAACATTAGTCACCACAATATCTCAAATATTTTTATCTCTGGAATCCTTCCCAAGAACAGCAACCAGATCTTTACTGAACTAAGTCTTGAAGAGAGAAGACTCTACCAGGATCTGATGCAAGTTCTATATTCAAAATCCTCAAAGGCAGTGACAAAGTCAGCCCTGTGAACTTCTTCAGCATCAACAGTAAAGTACTGTATAAACAAGAGGGCACCAATGGGGTGTAAGGAAATGAGCATATACAGTAAAATGCAGAACAGGACTAAGATCAACAAGTTACTGAAACTTCATGGAGTTAGACGGGAAAAACAACTGCACTCATTTACAAATCATTTCATGTTCCTATGCTTTTAATTTTAAAACCGCTGGTGTCCAAATAATCACCACCAACTTCCGAAAAGCAACGCAAACATACAGTACAGTACTGCTGTGGCCACAACTCCCAAACTCCCAACACTCTTGGAAAGAGGTGGGATGGTGGATTTGACAAACCTCTCCCCCTGGCAGCACCACAGCAAGGCGGCTAGAATGCAGGATGGCATTCAATAAAAAAACAGTTCCGACTGATGGGAAACGAGGAGCATATTACATTTCTTCAGTAGACAAAAGAGGAGGCTTAAAACTTACAAGGTGCTTCTTTCGATCCCTTTGATCACATCATTGTGTCGAGTGGCCTGTAATATCTCATGTTGCCGCATTAAAACCTTTGGTAAAGACTTCATAGATGAATACTCTTAGTTTAACAAACTGTATGCAACTGTTGTTGGTACTTTTCAGCTTTATTTAAAACAGGTAAACTATGTCACCTCCATTACCACACACAGCAATGGCTATATCATTAATAGCTATATGGAAAATAAAGGCGTTAGGTGTTAGCAGTTCAGCAGACAAATTGCCTTTCGCTAGATTGCAGAGAAATAATAACAACAATAATAATGAATATAAAACAATTTCAATTGGGCATTTTTGTGAGCACGATAGGATTGGCTTCTATCCAAATGACAAGGTACATAAAAGCTCATAATTTTTCCAGCTAAGTCTATGGTGAAAAATGAGTGAAGCTGCTGTTGTTTCCATTTTATTTATTCAGTCTTAGCCACAAGAATCCCATTAGTTAACCTATGTTTTATCACCATAAACCAGAAAAGACACAATCTACTCTATCAGTATTGGAGAGACCCCGCAACTCTTTACTGGGCTCTGCTGTCAGATAGTAAACTTTCGAAGTGAGGTTTCAGGGTACACATCTCACAGAAACTTTTAAGATGCCAAGAAAATTCTTTCAAAATACGATGCCAATACTTGATAACACAGGACTTTCAATACTTACAGCAGAAGTGCGATACTCTTGCAAGTTCTACGGTTTTCGTATGGAAATCTAATAGTTAATATAGTGCCCATCCATAACCTTTCAGCCATTCAGCCTTATTTTTTTGTAGTATGATGTTTTTATGCTATGATTGATTGCTTAATAATTGCCTACACTTATATAATACTTTTCTGGACACTCCACTCAAAGAGCTCTACAGAACATGGGGATCCCCTCCACCACCACCAGTGTGCAGCCCCAACTGGATGATGTGACGGTAGCCACAGTGTGCCAGTACTGTACTGGGGCAGTAGGACCCACACAGACCGTAGGGTGAGCAGCCCCCTGCTGGCCCCACTAACACCTCTTCCAGCAGCAGCCTTAGCTTTCCCAGGAGGTCTCCCATCCAGGTACTGACCAGGCTGGTATCTCCTGAGTTTCAGTGGGTTTCCAGTTGTGAGTTTCAGGGTGATATGGCTACTGGCACAGACTTGTTTAAAGTCCACATCTTTGTCTGATCAATTCTCTGACATGACATCGCCGTGTGACGTGATGACAAGAGGCATCTTCAACATTTAACAAACCTTACATCCATGCCTGTGCAGGAAAATCCTTGGGGAATCTGTCACTGCACGCTGCTCCGTGTTTTGAAAATTCCAGAGTTCTGTCCTGACACTGGTAAGAAACACAATCATTACCAATTTCTAAATACAAACTTAAAATCATGCATAAAAAGTACGTACTGTATACAGCTGTCAATAACGTATTCGAATTTGTATCAAAGTCTCCGTATGAGACTTGCAAACATTTTTGAATGCCCTTTTAGATTTAGATGTACTTTTGTCTTCATTTCAAAACCTGACATTGAGAAATGTAAAAAATGTTCAAATTAATTTCCCTCTAAATACATTTTCGAACATGTACCAGCGAGCAGCATTAACAAAGTGCTATTGTGGGATCGCAAGAATGGGAGATAAAATATCTGCACTTCAATAGAATAAGAGAATTAGTGACTTACAGTATCTGCAACAGACTGCTCAGCTCTGCCAGATAGCAGGACACAGAGCAGCAGAGAGAACACACTCCCTCCCTCACTCGCAGGACAGTGTGCTAGCCAAGTCCCTCCCTATTCCTAATACTGTATTTCCCAGGCATGTCCAGGGTCACGACTATCCCCAGTACTCTGTACAGCAAGAGTCTCAAACAGTGAGCAAGCTAATACACACATTAATAACCACAACAGCAGGAATGGTAATAAACAGGAACTCAAGAACAGCTGAAGCTCTCAACACAATCTAATGGAAATTAAGACCTCTGGAACACAGGGCTCCCAGTGCCCCGTGGTCATTGTTTTATATATACAAAGCAGAAAACAAAGAACACATGTTTAATGGAGCTTCATGGCAAATACTTTAAAACTAAAAAGATATTATTAAAGATGTTGTTGTTTGTTGTTTTTATTATATGTATTGGGAGACATTAACAACGCAACTGATATAATGGGTTACTATTCTAATTTGGCACATTAAAAATGCCTCAATATATAATATTTTTTTCAATTGAACTGATAGTTTTTCCCCATTTGAGAAAAATGCTCATTCTGATTATTTATGTATTTATGGGTGCCAACACATTTTTGTACAAAAAATTGAAACAATATACAGTACTGTAACTATAATTATATGTCAATAAGTTGCAGAACACTTCTCTGAATTTTAAATTACAGAAAGTAGTCCAACAATTTAATTCACAGTTTGTCTCATATCTTTGTGAAAAGCCGTATCGTTTGACGATGACAAGAACCATGAGAGTACGCAACGCAGGGAACAAACAGTTTTTCCTTAACTAGCTGAAAGCTTTTGTAATAAGCACAATACAGCGTTTAATGGATTTTTCCGTCAGGCACTATGACCCAGAGGACACCTTTCTGATGAACGGAGAAAGGACCATTGCAATCAATGCTCCTAGCTTTCTGCCAGAAAGGGCTTTATAAAGGCAAGTGCTTAGTCGCAAAACCTTATAACTTTTCAGGTACTCAAGGAGCTATCGCTATCTAGATAAAAGAATGGACTTACAAAGCACATGCAGGGAATACTCTCGGCTGACATATTTTCACATCAATATCGTATGTGATGTACTTTTTATATAGCAATGAATTTGATTGATAAAATGGAATTCCTTTCATCAGATCTGAAATTGATCGACTTTGATAGAACTGGAAACGAATGACTAGAGGCTGAATGCAAAAATGAAGAACGACGAGAAATCTGTTTAAGAATGCTTCGTGAAAATGTGTTTCCAAGTCATGAATCGCTTTTACTTCTTCGGATTATAGGCTACAGTATAAAACCCGAGGAGTTCAAGTTACGTTTGCAAAGGATGCCAAAGAAGCATGTTTTACGATAAAAAAAATTACCCTAAAGGAGAGGGTTATTTCCATGCACGCTTCTTGATATCCAGCTCACGAATTACGGTTAAAGCACTTAAATGTTTTAGATTTACTTAGTTTCTTAAGACTTTCAAGTCGTTAGTAATAGGTAACAAACCTTATCATATTTGCCTAATAATAGTGCTGTATTTCTAATCTTATGTTATCCTGCACAATACTAAGGTATGGAGGAATCTAGTCAATTAAAACTATCACCTGGCATTTACGGAGAAGCGTTGAATATTTCAACGAATGATACCAATGTGAATTACAGCGCTAAGGCTGAAGAAAAAGAAGGGAACTTAGTTTTCCAGACAACTTTAGCTGTGACCTTATCTCTCCTAACCCTCGCTACGGCTTTAGCCAATGCGTTTGTTATCGCTACTATTTATCAGTCAAGGAAGCTACACACGCCTGCGAACTTTCTGATAGCTTCGCTGGCTGTAACTGACCTTCTAGTGTCCATCCTGGTTATGCCTGTGAGCGCTCTCTATACCGTGAGCCGGACTTGGACTTTAGGACAAATAGTGTGCGACATCTGGCTCTCCTCAGACATAACGTGTTGCACCGCTTCAATCCTTCATTTATGCGTGATCGCCCTGGATCGTTACTGGGCGATCACCGACGCTGTTGAGTACGCCAAAAAGCGGACCCCCGCGAGGGCAGCGGGGATGATCGCAATTGCTTGGATCATCGCCATCTCCATCTCTGTCCCGCCTTTGTTTTGGCGTCAGGTCAAGGCAGAAGAAGTAACCAGCTGCTACGTGAATACCGACCACATCTTTTACACGATCTACTCCACCTTTGGAGCCTTCTACATCCCCACGTTGCTGCTCATCGCCCTGTACGGGAGGATCTATGTGGAAGCCCGCACAAGGATCTTAAAACAGTCGCCGAAAAAGACGGGGAAAAGACTAACTTCGGCTCACTTGATCACTAACTCCCCAGGGTCTGTGGCTTCAACGACGTCCCTGAACTACAGGACTCAGGAGAATTCATCTAGCGACACCGGGTCACCGGTTAATCTAAACCAAGTAAAAGTAACGGTGTCCGACGCGCTTTTAGAGAAGAAGAGAATTTCCGCAGCTAGGGAGAGAAAAGCTACCAAAACCTTAGGAATCATCCTGGGAGTTTATATAATCTGCTGGCTGCCATTCTTCATTCTCACCTTACTGGTGCCTATTTGTGCGACTTGCACGTTTTATCCAGAATTGTTTGACTTCTTCACCTGGCTAGGCTATCTCAATTCTTTAATCAACCCCATCATATACACCATGTCTAACGAGGATTTCAAACAGGCTTTTCAAAAACTCATTCGTTTTAGGTGCTGCAGGTCATGAGTTTGTGGAGAATAAGTTAAAAATGGGATAAAATCCTGTAATGGCTTTCCAGGTCAAAAGGTAGGATCCACAGCAACATCAGTTGTGTTAAATGTTGTTGAACATCATCCTATACACTTGACAATAAACACCACGACAATTAAATGCATTTTAGGTCCTAGTCTAATTATATAGATATTGACTAGGACGTGCAAACGTCGGAAAACGTAGGTAATAAAAACATCACCAAAACCGAGGAATAAAATTGGTTGATTTTTAGGGGTAAGAGGGCTGAGACATTTAAGCATTAAAACATATTTAAACGCATTTTTTTATTTTCTGTTTAACCTGTATAAGACCTGAATTGGTAATAATTTCACATTCACATATTTGTGTTTAAAACATTAAGATGATGCTTAATGACAATGGTTTCTGAAGACTATGGTATCAAATAGAAAAAAAATAAATATTACTACACGGGATAATTGATACATAAGATCTAAAAGTCATTGTTTGTGTGGAAGATAAAAAGCATGTGAGGAGTACACGTCCCGCTGCCGAAATTCGTCGATGCAGTGAATTGCTTACGACAAAGCCAATAATAACACGTTGAAAAAACACTGATATTATGGGGTAATAGAAAGTTTTTTTTTTTAAATCAGAATAACCGTATGAGAAAAACACAGTATCCAGTTAATTACCTAAATAGTATTAAATGATGCAGTTGTTGGAACATTGCGAAATTATACTGTATATGAATGTAAGGAAGGTTACAAACAAGAGCAGACTACAGTATTCGTTCCATCTAGTCTGCTTGGTTGCTAGTACCTTACTGATCCGCAGATATCATCCTGGCCGTTTCAACAGTTTGAATTACTAGTATAAATATTTAAATAGGCTTGATTGGAATGTCATTTCCATAAGGGTGAAACTTTCGGATAAATAAGTTATTTTGGCACGTACTGTATTTATAATGTGTTTTATTTTGACACTCATACAGTACAGTATGTACAGTACCTCATTAAGACAAGGAGTTGCGAGAAAACATGTCCCCCTCACGTTTGGTCCGCCTACAAGTGATTCAAATCGCGTTTCACCTGCAAACGAACAGTTTCTTTTTTTCACTTTTACTTTGTTTCGGTTTTCACCTGCACATTTGTAAGATAATTCGGGTTTTGTTCATTTCTTTCACTTCCATACTGATCAAATTTCCACTGGCATGCTGTCAACGTGATAGCATGGGCCCGTTTTTAGCTACTGTATCTTTTTCTTCGTTTACCTTCGGGTTATTTGGTGCTCACATCAAATAATTTCAGGAAAAGTGTTACTGTGCCGAAACATTTTTTCTCTGGAAAGCACCGTCCTTTCAGAAGGCACTTGTTATCGACATCGCGACTGTAAAATTAGGTTCATTCAAGCAAAAGCAAATATTACCGATGCTTGCCTTTTTTCGCACTTTGTCAATCAAGTTGTATTTCTGAGACAGTTTACCTAGCGGGAGATTATGGCAAAGGTTTACATTTTATACATCCGTCTACTAAACTGTTTTAAGTTATAATAATCTTTTGTGGTGAATGTTGACTTATAACCGTTGCTACATCATGCTTGAAACATACATTATTTTTAACAATTGTGCTGTATGGTGTCGTTAACTCTTGATAAGCTCTGGGTGATCACGCATGTCACAAACATTTTGATGAGCTGTTTGGTGGTTTCAGATAATAGAATGGTTTCAAAGCTAGAATGCGTTTTGGATTACACTTCGCAAAAAGATGATTAAGGAACTGTTCAAAGTTAAAATCCCAACTGAGAACACATTTTTCAAACGACCTCGGTCCATTATGGACTAATTCAGGTGTGAGGGAGGTTTTCCACGTATAGGCATACCGAAGTACAATTCAACACTAAAAAGTGGCAAACGAAATTCGTGTAAAAGTGCCATCCATGTAATTTTCGTGGTTTTCTTCGTGCTTGACATCGGTAGCTTCACTCACACCTGAAGTGTGATTGCGCAGCGGCTCAAGGCCTGTCACGTGATCTCTGCTGTGACACACACGGGTAATTGTTGCGTTTCTGAAACACTGCGGTCTTGTTGTAGCGGCCATCTGTGCTGCGCAATCAATACACTGTATTGCACCCCAACCTAAAACGAATTACTCGAAAAACTTTGAAGTACACATAATTTAGTATGCTATTTTTGAACATCCATTCAAAAGTTGAAAATAGTTCATTAACTTCCATTTATTTAGGAAAGGTTACCTTTCTACCACAAGTGTTTAAAAGCCGTTTTCTTTTCCACAACAGGAAATGCCGCATTAAATTTGACATCAAAGCTTTTTTAAATCTACGCCCTGTGATAGAGAACGTTTCTCCAGTTGTATGTTACCCGTGTTATGTACAGTATTTTAGCAATAGTCTGTACTACAGATACGCAGTTATGATTTTAACAGCATAAACGTACTTGATAAAAAATTGTTCAAAAAATGCTGTTTGAAATGACCATTTAACACATGATAACACAAAATGATCTTAATCTGCCATAATGATGTTCATACTCGTTCGTGTTAGTTTAGACAGGCCTGCTTGACACATTCTATACTGGGTGTATAATAGTTCATTAATCGGATGTTCTTCTCCACCCATAATGTACTGTCATGATTCCATCCCTGAATCATGCAAGAATTCACCTTAAACATGAAACGTGTTCACATGGTCATTTAAACATGAAGAACATTCACCCATGTCACAGTATGTACTGTATGGGAAACTCGAGCTTTGCTCTCGAGGGAGGTTAATTTGTGTTTTGTGTGTACCTTTGTGTTTCTGTGAAAACAGTTTTTCTAAGACTATCTTCTACTGGATGTAAAACACATTGGAAAACCCAACACCTCGTCTTCATAATAGTGTGACATTGTACATTTTAATTTTGTCTCAGTTGACAAATAGCAGGAAACCTCCAAAGACTAAATAGATTCATGAGGAACTTTAAAGCTCCCCAGAACAATCAATTAACTAAACCTTTAACTGAATATTTGTGTTGCATTACAGTCCAATGAGTGCAAGGCTCAATGTGCTACAAAATCTGTGGAAATGACCATACACACTTAGACTGCTTTGAAATACAGGGATAAATAAAGTTTATGAAAGGCAAACAGCAGCAAGAATGAATACAAACTGTGCCAAATGTATGTAACGTTCAATGTTTGTATGTATTGATTTACTGTGTAAAGAAAACTGTTTTGTTTCATGAAACATATTCAGGAGTCAGGTAACTGTGTAATGGGAATATTTTTTTCATACAAAGAGCTGCTGTATAATAAATGCTTCTTTGCACCAAAACCATATTGATTGATTCAGCTCTTGTATCTGAGTAAAATTCCATCAAACCATGTTTTTGTCATTAGCTGTGTTCTTAAAAGTTAAATGGAAAAGGTTTTTGGAGACCAAGCTAATGATGGCTTAACCTCCTACTGTATATCATTCGTCAGACAGAAAAAAAACATGTCATATTTTAAGGTATTGCTTTTGTTTTCTGGTAGTATGAGAACATACATACACTGTCTTAGCAAAGTAAAAACAACACATATACTTGTAAATGCAATTTGAGTATAATAGATTATCAATAAACTCCAAATTTTAGGGCACATTCTTTGATCCTTGATCATGTTCATAAAACGCACTGCTTGTGTCAGAATACAAACTAAAAAACTAGAATACAGTAGATGAAAATCTGACAATGTTAACAAAATAACTAAGAGGACTATGATTGAAGACCTGCTAAGATATTAAAGGCAGTATTATAAACTTTAATATAACATTACAATCATGCTCTTATTATACTGTATTGTATTAAGGTTGTTTTGTATTATTTCTTCCACATTTGTCACATTTACAGCTTTGTAAATGGAATTGATTTGTTTGGCCAAGTGGTTTTATGAGTATGTTTTGCAAAGCTGTTAAGGCAGTATGTGCATCTGTATTAAAATGGTAACAAATGATTCATCATGAACAAAGTGTAATCTGAGCCTGTCCAGGGTGCTTTGGTGTTATTTAATTCATTAAATTTGACCTTGATATAGTCAAAGTCTGAACACATTCAGTAACAACAAATTCCAAATGCAGTATTAGATAGTGGGAAGAAACAAGAAGTCTCTAATGCTACAATCAAGAATGGTTTGCGACTGTCAAGTGAGTCAAAGTTTCCATTTAATCTGGGAAATCATGCTACCGTGAGTTTTTAAGGTTGGTCTTCCTTAAGAACAAATAATGCTTTGGTACATCCTTACTTGAGAAGTGGAGTTCAAGCAAACAAGGAGGTACACAACTGAGGTTAATCCCTCAGAAATGAAAGTGAATTGCAGGTTATCACTTACAATGCAACAAAAACATTCAATCACTTTTTAGAGCCTGTCTGCTGGGGAAAAAAAATGATTTATTAACCAGTCAATAACTAAACAAGGTTTTTCAACACCTTCATGGATGGACTGTTTGTAACTGTGTTTACAAAAAGGTAAAATGCATATCGTTTATGTCTACAGTTTCTGCACTGGCTTGTTACCCGTCAGGACAGATATTTAAGAATTAAGAATTAATATGGGATGTAAAGATACTGTTTTCTGGGAGAGTGTGCCGAGTGTGTTGTGTTGAGTCATAAGAAGCCAAAGATAACGAAGCTTAGATAAAGTTGATTAAGCAGTGTATGATTTTCAAATTTAAAATGAGATCTGAGATATCAAATTTAAGAATTTTCAATAACTAGAAATGGATCTGAAATGTTTAAATGATCATATCCTGTACTGTAACTATCACTGTATAATGTGTATCATTGATGCTTATAAGCAAAGCTCCAAAACTGTCTGCCTAAAACGTCTGTCAAGTATGTTTCTGAAGACAGGTAACATCTTGTCTTGTGAAGTAAATCTTCATATGACACATTTTATTGTGAATAAGCATCCAAAAGCGTGGTATGAATTTGTTTTGCAATATGTCTCGAATTTAACTATAATGATACAGATGAAAAGTACAAAGGTTGAGGTGGACTGATATAATTTTTTTAGTATTTTGTAATGATTTCATCTTTTTATGTGGGAGACGTGTCATCCCAAGATCCCATGTATCAATATTAATCTTTTTAGAACAGTATTAAAGTGCTAAGATATACATTTGGATACAGAAGTATATTTTCCAGTTCACAAACATTTGTAATTAATGTCGAAGATACAGTTTGTCATTAACAGTAATGCTTGCTGTGGACGTATTTCTTCCATTACCATTTCAAGGTAAAATGTACCACACAAATTATTCAGTATAACTCAAAAGACCTTATTAGTTTGAAACAAAAATAACAAACAAGAAGGATGCCAGTATTCCGTGGCAAATAATACTTCAACTTTGACCATCGTGATTGTATTTCATATGATATACAAGATGTATAGTACATTTTGGCTTACTGAAATATGTGAAGGAAAATACACTGAATTATTTATGTTGTCACTTATCATTGTTTACATAAAATACTGTTGCTTTGGAATCAATCCAGAGAAGATCGACCAAATACATTCCCAGGCATAAAGGAGTTTCCTACACTGACAGGCGTAAATGAACTTAAACTTTTTACTCCCAGACCCAGAAATGGGGGGCAGTGTCAGCAAGTGAGTGGCAATGGAAAATAGAGGTCAATTTTACACTGTACAGCAGAAAGAGCACAGTCTTTCCACTCATAAGCCTTATGCAGTTCCTTTCCTTCTGAGAAGAGAGAAGACTATGAGGAGACCTGATTCAAGAATTCAAAATCTTGAAAGGCATTGTTTATTGACTTCTTCAGAATCAACAGAAAAACACCAAGCAGAGATTTAAATCTGAAGGCAGGACGCCTTCCTTGCACAAAGAGTTGTGTGAGTATGGAACAAGCTGCTCATCTGTGTTGTCGATACCTTGCATCTTTTATGATCCGACTGGATGAGATCCTGTGTTTTTTTAATTACTGCTAGTTTTTTATTAGTAACAAGCAGTTATTAAGTGTTACAACAGGCTAGAGGGCAGAATGGCCTCCCCTCATTTGTAGCCTTTCTTTAAATGCATTATATAGTTTAAGAAGTACCACCGGTAACTTAAATTTTATTCAAACTTTAAAATGTTTTTCGTGAAAAAACTTCCTCTCTGTTGGCTTGCTGCCAATCTTTCTAATCTATATCTATATAATGTATATGGGATTTGTTTGTTTTAAAACTGAAGATGCGAATAAACACGGATGTTTGCAGTATTAGTTTTTGATATATACAGTATCTGTATTCGAGAGACATTTGACTGTAGAAGTTCATTGTTCAGGGTTAAAGGGGACACAAATCAAACAAATCTGAAAGTAAAAGCTGCAGCTGCACACGTTTCCCCAAGCAGCGCCATGTTTTCACAGCTTTGTGACATTAAGATGTATTTTTACACTTCGAAAACATCTGCTAGTAACACTATCAGCAACAGCTCTGAAATCTGCTTTTCTTCCAAAACACTCAGTTTGTAGTTATTGTGAAGTTTTCTTTGGTTCTGTTAATCCTGTTATTTGAAAGCAGTCTATGTGATCTGTTCTTTTTCAATAGCTTTTTTCTCACTCCTTTTTAACCTGCTATATTACCTACAGTATAATATGTTTGTGTGTTTTTGAACATCTTTGGTCCCGGTGTCCATTTTAATGACAGACATTAACACATGCAATCACGCACAGAGGAAATACAGTAAGTAGACTGAATAATCTCTTTGAGATCGGAATGAAATTTATCTTCACCAAAATGTGCAAGATAAATGTGCACCAAAAATTGGTGGCCAAGTATATTCAAGACCCTTTCGATTCATTGGCTCAAGGTTAATGTTCCTGTACTTCTTTGAATCCGTTCCATTTTGTAAGTACAGTATATAGATCAAATAAAGTACACATTTATAATATTTCCCATTTTTTCACATTATATACCTGTACATTGAATATTGATTGCAGGGAAGAAGGCATCCTATTCTTTTGTCTTATCAATAAGTAAATTACAACAATTATAAGTGGGAATCGAAGATCATCAAAGGGCTCTGATATTTAAAATCTAATTAAATGTTTGACAACCAGGCAAATGGGAGGAGTGAGATAATTACCTCACATCTGAATAAGATCAGGACCCCCCCTAAAACCTCCTTCTCATTTCTTATAGACTTGGGATGTGTTTGGAGTGATAACAGGTAAGCAAAACAAATCGTAATTAATATGATAACAGCAGGACCCTTAAACAATATGTCAATGTCTACGTTCAATTACTGCTGAACGTCAGAAGGATGTGTAAAATTGGGGAGTTGATGCCTATAAAAACACATTGCTTATGCTTATTCTCAGAAACCTGTGACTTCCTGTTTTCGGTCATTCCTCAACACAATAAATAACACAAAAGTGCTAATTGCTTGGGTTTGAAATAATACCAGAGAATAAATAATACATTTGTACGTGCTTGTAAATTAGTCTCTCCTTTCATTATACCCATTCCTATTAACTCTCTTTTTTATTAGCCTGGTGATGGTGGAAAATTTACAGCTGTATAAATAAACATACAGGTTTCAGTACACTGAATATGAATGTAAAGTAGCTTGGAAGCTCATAATAACAACAACATAATTGTGCAAATCCTGACTCACTGAGCCTATTATTTCTTGAGCACAGGACATACAGTATGAGCTTGTGGTCTCATGGAAATGTGGCTATCAGACCTATGGGAAGACCTTTATACAGATGTAAGTGATGTTTCTCATGATGAGAACATTAAACATTACGGAGATCTGTACAAACAAAAAGGAAAACACCGCCTGACTCAAGATAAGATAAAAGAGCTTCGGATCCTATGAAAGTCACACAGGATATACCTGATCCTGAGAGGAAGAGACTTTCTTTAAAAAAACATGGATTGTATCTAATACATCTAGAACATGATTAGGAAAACTGAAAAGGCTGTAGCGTGGTGTGACTGTTGGCAACATTATCTCACAGTCCCAGGTACCCTTGGTGCAGCCCCAGTCTCGAGTGTCTGTCTATGTGGAGTCTGCATGGTCTGTCTACGATCACAGGAACTTTAGCCATGTGGTGTGGTTTCCTTTCAGATGTGGATTATATTTGATTGCTTGCTATGAACTGACCTGCCTCCCAGCAGGAGAGCAGTCATCTGCACTGAGCTTAAGAAGCCCTCACTTTTCTATTTGCTATTAGGTCTTGGAAGACTGTCTTGCCTAAAGTGGTTCGAAGGTTCAGCATTATAGCTAGGAAATAGAAAATGCAGGAGCGTGGACTTTAGAGTAACCACTTTTTGTACATGTTCTGATGACTACTCACTGTTCCATTAGATTTTTACTTTTTTTCTCAGTCCTCTGCCTTACCCCCATTGCCTTTGGCTTGCTTCAGTTCTCAGCATGGTAATCAGCCTTCTGATAATGGATACATTAATGAAGCAGGATGTTTTCTCTGTCCCCAGTGGAGTCAATACTCAGCTCTTACTGCATACTGACTTGAAGTATTATACCTTACTGCAGCTGCTATTACTTCTACATCCACAAATACTTCTCCCTCCTGCTATACTCGCACTGCTTCTAAAAAGGCACCTGTGATGCGAATAACAAAATAACTGGAACAGTTCTCATTGACAGAAATTGTCTTAAAAAAACATTTTCAAAACACAGATCAAAATGAAAATGCAGTCTGGAACACCCTTTCAGCCCAGTATAAAGACACCTTGCAATTTAAACAGCCCCGCGCAGTGTCTGAATATACACATTTAACAGTTCGATTGCTGTGACTCCAGAGAGAATGAAGTGCTCCCAGGGCCCGAGGAAGCGAGGCCAGATAAGAAGTGTCCACCACACAGTGATAAAAAGGGAACAGCAGACTGTACTTCCACGGCATATTAAGTGATTGTCATGGAGGTTTTGAGAGCTGGTTATTGCTTACTATTGGGAGCAGGATCATTAGGCACACAGCTTGTTGCTTTAAGCTGCCGAGCATTGGGAAAATGCATTTTAAATTACTGGTTAATATCACCAACGCACGAAAGATGTCGGAAATGTCCCTGACTTATAGTTCTACCATCAAAGAACATGTAATTTGATTGATGCAACCCTACAGTATGGTTGTATCAAAGTATAAGAAATATAATATGCAAACAGTTGGTATCTGAATTTTGTATTCTTACTGATTTAAATATTTTTTAGGCATTATCAAGCATGCAGTACTGATCCACAGCTTGAACTATACAAAATGTTAGATAAAGAAAAATGAAAAGCTCCAGTAATTTCTAGAAATAATTTTAGTATTAGCTGGATTTCAGATGAATATGTATTGATAATATCTACACAAGGATTTCATGTCATTGTAATTTCTTTCCCTTAAAATTTGCCACATTCTGTGTTAAATATGTTAAAATATTTATCCATGCTGTTATTCATTGTTTGTTCTGTTTTACATTAGCAGGGCAAAGGTGAAAGTGCACGGATCATCTGTTATGGAGCATAAATTAGCATAAAAAGTTGTCCCCATAGAAAATTCCCATTGTCTTAAAAATACTAAACACGCTGTCACTTTATTTAAATATTGAGCGAATTACTCACATGTCAGAAATTTATGTCAATTTACCAGTGATGCTAGAGAAAAATCTCAATGTACAAATCCAATTTCATGCCCATTCCAACC